CCTTTTTTTTTACGTTGTGTGCGCGGCGTCGCAGCCCCGTTGCTTTTTTTTTTTTTTTTTTTTCTTTTTTGAGAGGGGGAGGGGGGAACCGAAGATGTCTGCAATTTTGACTCCTCCTCTCTTCCTTTTCTTTCTTTTTTTCGGTTGGTTGTTTCCCCTGCGGTGATGTCCCCGTGGGAGGCTGCTGCTGCTGCTGGCCACATCCCCGCTCCTTTTTTTTTTTTTTTTTTCCCTGCCTTCTTCTCTTCTTTTCTTGTCTTTTTGTGTTTAAGAAAAACAAAAACAACAACAACAACAAAAAACAGGTCAAACCGCTGCGCGGCATCATAAAAAAAAAAAAAAAAAAAAAAAACAATCAAAAAACAAAACGGCGAAGGAAGGAGGACCAAAACACGGAAAGAAGGAAAGAAAGGAGGGCAGTCAGCGGACCCACCGGGCAGCAGTAAACCACACGGGCGGGATTGCCGCTCCTTCCACTTTTTAATTATTTCCCCTCCCCCCCCCCCCCCTTTTTTTTTTTTTATCGCCTTCTTCCTTCCTTTCTTTTTTTTCTTTTTCTTTCACTTCTCTGCCGCGTCGCGCTGTCTTTTTTCTCTTTTGTTTTCACGCGGAGGGCCGCTGGAGAGAAGAAGTGGGGGGACACAACGGCCAGGGGAAAAAACAAAAAAACAAAACAAAACAAAACAAAAAAACGTTCACACACACTCGCAGGGACAAAATTTATTATCAGACGGCACGTACAATTTTACCGTCCGTGTGCACCTGCGGGTCCTCCTTCCATCGTCGCCACCCTCGCCGCAGTAGGACTGTGGCAATCGAGGGCGCACGTTTAGACCCCACCATCAAAAAGGGGAAGGGGGAAGGAGAGGGAGAGGCAAATTCCACTGCAAAGCTTTAAAAAAAAAAAAAAAGGAAAAGAATCAAAGAGAGGAGCGAGTCTGTTTTATTTCATTGTTTTATTCCTGTGGCCCATTGCATTTTCCACAAACTAACACACAGAGAGAGACAAACAAACAAAAAACCGTCTTTATTATTATTATTTTTGCCTTAGCATTTGCGGCGTTGTTGTCGCGGCCATTTTGTTTCTTGACATTTTGTCCGGGCGATAACACTTTATCTTTTCATGCCTCAGTCTTCGCTAACGGCGACGAGGCGAGGAAAAACGGCAATGCAAAAGCGCAACCCGCCTGTTGCGGCCGTGCGAGAGTATTTGATGCCTTTTGGTGGGCCGGTGACGTGGCACGCGGTACCTCGGGCGGCGTGTTGCCATTGCGCCGCTTCTGGCTCCGCGCGAGCCTTGACTGCGCCCACACCCAAGAGAATAATGACAGTTCACAGGAGGAAAGGCGGTCAGACCTTTCCCTCTGATCCAGCGCGGGTAATACCGGATTCAATGAGAAAAAAAGGTTTAACCTGGAGCGAGTCTTCAGGAATGGGCGCATTGGATGATGTGGTCCTTGCGCCACAAAGACATTTTGCCCATTCATCTGTCATGTCCCCCTCATCAGCGAGTTTTCTTTCTGCGGGGTTTGTGCGGCTCACGTCGGAGGCTGCTGCCGTCCGTATTGTGAACAGTGCTGTTGCTTCTGGCGTCAACGGTGGTGATGATGAAAGCAATTCACGGTTGTCATTGAGTCGGCGAGGTTTGTCGGTACACGCACCACCATTTCAGCCGCGCACACCTACGGCTTTGAGTGCGCTGTCGTCAAGAATTGAGGCTTCAGAATTGGGGGATTTGCTTTCTGGACAAAACGCCCAGCAGCAGGAGTTGAGTAGCAGCGGCGATGTTGCCGTTGGCTGTCTCCAGTCTCAGAGGGTACGTACGTCAGGCTTGGAGTTTCCCCGCACCCCGCTGGTTATAGAATCGGCAGGAGTGTACGTACCCACAACTATTGGTAGTGTTGCTGGTGGTATCTTGCCTCATGCATCGTCTACGGCGTCGTTCTTTGGCGGTGACTCGTTGCAATTATCATCTTCTTTGCCTCCAGTTTCCCCTTCCGTTTCCACACGACTCCAACAAAGACATGTGCATCACAGTAGCCTCAACGTTGCTGGTGGCAGTTCCGACACAGTTTTTTGTCTTTCTGATATGAAAGAAGAGAATTCTTGTGACAATGTTCGTCACCGCCGTGTCCCTTTTACTGATGCCGAAGCGATGGATGAAGCAGCGATGCTTCATCAGCTTCGTGGCAGCAGTGGAAGCAGCACTGATGTCGATGATGATGACGACGATGACGACGACGCCGTCTGCATGGAACAGCTTCAACATCTGCAGACATTTGATATTACTACGACGCTTCCAAAGGATGTTGATGCCTGTCACTATGCGGGGGGATTTTGGGATTTGGAGGGCCCTTCTGCCCAAACGCGACGTTTTTTGCTTAGGGGCACATCGTCTACGGCTTCCCTCGCTTTAACAACGCACAGCAGCTGTGGTTCTCCTGCCTGTAACGTGGAGAATGACGTTGTCAGGGACTGCAGGGGCGGAACTGGTTTTAATGATGAAGATGATGATCTTTGGGAAATGAACAGCAGCGCATACGCGGATAGTTTGGACGACGCACAGGTGGAGTGGATCGAACAGCAGCTACAAGCAAAGGAGAACCCCGATGATTTTTTCTTCTAAACAACAGGAATAATCTCACCCGCCCAAATATATATATATATATATATATATATATATATATATAAAGGAAAGACACACACAGACAAACACACACGCACACACACACAAAAAAAAAAACACGCTCAACTTGACTGGGAAGAGTAGCAGGGAGAGAAAGAAGGATTGCGAGTGCAAGTTTATTTAATTTTGTTCTATGTGCTCTTTTGGCTCTTTTTTTTTTTTTTTCTCTCTCTCTCTCTTTCTCTCTTTCTCTCTCTGTGTGTGTGTTTGTGTCTGTATTTGCGAGGGGTTGCTTTTCTCCATGCGCATGTCAACGACTCGCGTGAGGTGTTGATGTGTCTTGGACTAATGGTTGCAGTAACGGAACACAGGAACATGTTGTGTTGTGCCATACATATATATATATATATATATATGTGTTTTTATATATTTCTATATTTCCTTTTTTTTTTTTTTTGGCGGGCGGAGCAAATTAGTTTAAATGGAATGTTTCTCGTTATATAAAGCGGGCAAATACGTATGAAAAGTTTTCTTATCTCGATGGATAGGGATGGAGGGGTTAGGGTGGACGGTGAGAAGAAACAAAGAAGGAGAGGTGGAATGAAGGCAGCACCGGCCAGAAAGTATGGCGAGCGTAAATTCCGTTTTTTTTTTTTTTTTTTTTTTTAAGGGGTGACTGAGTTGTGAGGAATGAGAGCCCGGAGACGCGAGCATCCGCCCCCCACCACCTCCCCACCCGACTCTGCCGCTCGGTTCACATCGCCGCCCCTCCACTCACTGGCCCCTGTGCTTTTTTTCTTTTTTTTTTGTGTGTGTGCTTTGATTTGTCTTTGACTTTATATTCCTTTCACGGCTGAGACTTTTTTTTTTTTTTTGGTTGCTTCCCTTCTGTGCGGCTTGTGGCGCGCCTCGTTGGTGTCCGGCGGCCGCAGGGGGAACGAGGCGGGAGAGGGACTTTTTTTTTTTTTTTGTAAACAACCGGCGGGAAAAAAAAAATAAAAAAAGGAATGCGGGAGTGGGGGAACGAGTGGGGATAAATCTGCTGCCCATTTCGGGCGCAATTATTAATACGGGCGTGTGTGTGTTGTGTGGATGCCTCCACTCAAAAAATATGTTGAAAGGAAAAAAGAGGAAAAAAAAAAAAAGAATGAAAGAAAGAAAGAAAGAGAAAAAAGAGAAAACAAACAAAAACAGAAAAATGAACATAAACAAAAAGAAAGAAGGAATAAAAAAAAAAAAAAAAAGAAAAAAGGCGAAGGATTCAAAAAAAAAAGATGCATCGTTTCCAAAAAAAAAAAAAAAAAACGAGAAAAAAAAATATAATTTTTTATTCCTTTGGCGTCTATTTGTGTGTATTTTGCTCCTCTGTGAGTGGCCTCCTTTTTTTTTTTTTTTTCTCTTTTTCTTCTTTCTCCGCTTGCAAGGCAAGCGATGGCCGTGGGGAAGAGGGCAATGGGTCCTTTTCCCCAACGTTTACCTGCACGCTCTCTGTGCGTGTGGGATTGGTGTTTTGGACACTGTTTTTACTATCCTGTGCTTTCTTCTTCTCCCTTTGAGGAGCAGGTGGTTTTTTACAAGAGCTCCCAGGCTGTTGGCGGCGTGGACAAGGCATGAAGGACACCTACCGGGTGGGAAAGGCCAACTCGACACGGTAAATACTCATTGCACGTATATAAAAAACAAGTTCCGTTGCGTTTGGCCGATGCGGTCCTTCGTGCTTTGTTGTTTATTGCACAGCCATACTTTTTTCCCCTGAAGCGTGGCGATTCTTATTGCTATTTTCCACCATGTTGGCTTTTTGTCGTGCCTTCTATTCTTGTAAACGCCCGCGGTCTTCGCCGCTTGCTTTGCAAACTGGGTCTTCCTTGCGCGTGCTCAAAAATCTCGTTGCCGGAGCTGCACGTGCGCAGAAACAACCCTGCTGACGCTTTCTCGTAAAGAATTTGCCCGATCTAAGGCCAGACAAACGACTAATTCGGTGGCATGGCGATGACCCACAGCACAAGAACGCCGACCGCCATCTCCAAGCGCGTCTGCCTCACACCAAGTGGGGATATGAAAGGAAGCCCCGGGCCCCGGAGAGGGAGTTGCAGCGAAGGGCGCGAAACACAACCACGCCACAAAGCCGCACTGGGCAAGCGCGGTGGCACGTCAATCTGTTGCCGCCGAGAATAAGTAAAAGAACAAACCAATGAATGAGGACATGAGAGAGAGAGAAGGCACATACCAGGAGCATCTAAGCTCCGTCGCATTTGCGAAGGGCTTTGCGTTTCCTCGCCGCGCGGAGGCAATGTTGGGCGCAGAGCGCTTCCACCTTGAAAAGAAACTGCGCCAGCATCTTTGTGAAGTAAATCCTCTTCACTTCCCCGGTTCCTGCCCCATGCTTTTTTTTTTTTATTTGGCGCCTGCGGATCCGGGCAGCGGAGTATACGCAGGGTTTTCCCATCGCAATGTTGGCGTCGGCCGTTTTCCGCGACGCTCGGTCCCTGATTGTTCTGCGTTTGAATACTTCATCGTGGCGCCAGGGGCCCGCCACCGAGGGACGCGGGCGCGATTTTTCGGGACGCCGAAAAGCCAACATTCCGCAGCGCAGCGCTCCGGAACTCCGTCACTGCCGCGCCGGGATTTGGTTGTCGCCACGCTGCCCATGCATGGGTGTAAATCCCGCAATG